CTCGGTTCTGTTGGCAGCGTGGGGCACCCTGCTCAAAGTAGATACCTCAAAGACAGGTCCTCACACAGACTGCTGTTCGACGTGTTGTTTTGATGCCATTAGTGCTTAGTGTATTAATTAGTTGATGTTTTTCTTAGTTCATATCTTAGATCTTACTGTTTTGCTTGTACATTTTATTGTTGGATGTAACTAGGCTTAAAACTTTCCTAAAACTAGGTTTAAGACTTTCCTTTTTGCTAAACCCTATAGTTATGGTCGGCTTGGGTTTCCTGAGCCGTCCCTTAGTTATGCTGCTATAGGCTTAGACTGCTGGAGGACAAACTGACCACACTTTTCACTCTGCTACTGTCTTTACTTACTCTGCTCAACATTTGTAAAAAAAAATTTCTATCCTTAACATGCATTTTTTTTGTCTTTCAGATATACCTGGACCTATACCTGGACCTAACATTCAGTGTTCGTCTGTCTCTCCTTCCTGTCCTCTCAACCAGCCGGTCAAAGCAGATGACCGCTTGTCCTAAGCCTGGTTCTGCTGGAGGTTTCTTCCTTTTAAAAGGGAGTTTTTCCTTTCCACTGTTGCCACTGTGCTTGCTCAGGATGGGAGACTGCAACGAAGCCAAGATTCAATTTGTCTGCTGGATTCCTTAGATAGAGAACTTTACTAATTGGCTTTTATGTATGTGAATGTTTCTGTAAAGTGCCCTGAGACAACTTTGTTGTGAATTGGTGCTATATAAATAAACTGAATTGAATTGAACTGGGACCCAGCATACATAATTTTGTTCCACCACATGAGATGCAAATGACAAATCTCTCTGACTCTGACATGGGCTGCAGACTCCCAGGGGCCTCATGAACACACACAAACAATTCAGTAGTGAGATGGAAAAAGTGAACAGCAGCTGAATACAAGTGTGTGTGTGAGTGACTTTGAGCTATTAAAGGAACATTCTGTGTAATTTACACCTCCTGAGCTGCACCTGAGCCCTCACAGATATTTTTTTTTTTTTCATGGCACTGAAAGTTTAACGTTTTATTATGAAAAGCTGTCCATTTCCTGTGGTTCTGACCCGTTCTTATCGGATCCGATCCCGTTTACAGCAGCGAGTCAGACACAGGAGTGAACGTAGGAAAATGTAAAAACTGACTCTGCTGTGAATGTTCTGGCCCAGTAATAAGCAGAAAACAGCTTCTGTCATTCAGATGAAGCTTCAACAGTCTTGGGACAGGATCCACCTGAAGAGCAGTTTGTAACCAGTCACCTGGCAACAGGTGAGACATCCATCAAGAACCTTTTAGAACATCAGCATTTAGAAACCTGATCCGGACCATGACTGGATCACAGCTGATTCCTAACGTTACCAACATTCAGTTACAGTGAAACATCATCTGAGTTTTAGCTCAGGGCAACGATCTGAAGAGCTCATACATAAACTCAGGAATGAAAGCATTCATGGCAGCTTCAAACATTCACAGATCAATCGTCAGAACGGTGGGTCACAATCAGAGCTGTGAGGAGGCAGTGGGTCCACATTTGGTTTTTGGTTCCAGAGAAGAAGGTCAGAGTGAAGAAGTGGTTCTACAGAGGTGTCACGAACACAACCACACGTCCTCCACTCTGTAGGATCATTACGCTCGTCCTAAAATTACAGAAATCTTTAAAATAATTCAACTCCTTAATCTGTTTTGTTGCACCTGCAGGCTTCCGTACGCAAAACAAACGAGTCAATAAAATCTAAACAAAAACAAACCAAACAAAAAACTGATGTTACATTCCAGGTGTGACTGTGGAGAAGCTCCGCCCCATACGGCACGTGTGGGAGGAGTCAAGTGCTCAAACAGGTGACTCCACAACCAATGAGCTGAGTGGATCATAACACGACAGGAAATGAGGAAAAAATAAAAGTCTGACCTTCACAGGCCTGGCATCACAACCACAACTCTAGTGACAGGAAGTGAGAGACACAGAGTCCAAGTGTGTGAGCATTTCAAAATAAAAGCCCCCTCTTACAGAAATAAAAGCTGTTACACGGAGTTAAAGTCTGATTTATGAAAAACCTGAGCAGGTGGTCATGTAGTAAGATCCAGGCCCGCCTCATTAGAACCTGTATGACGCAGCAGATTCTGAACATGTTTGGGTTTCATCAGAACAGGTCACAATGAGCACGGTGCGAGTTCTGATGTTGGTGGTTACGATGCGATCACGACTCCCTTCAAACAAACACCATTTCTGTGGGTCAACAGAACCAGTACCACTGGCAGTCTAACTCCACAGGTTTCAACACATTTGTTAAACAGACTGTTTCATTAAGTCCAGTTAGACAGTCAGTGTCTTACCTGCAGAGTTCTCAGTTTCTTTGCTTTGGAAACGACTCGGACCCGGATGTGTTTGGATCTCTGAAAACCAGTTTTCCACAGTAAGGTCAACATTTCAGAACACAGAATCGCTAATGTCAGGATCTGGGGCGGGGCTACAGCCCAGGTTTAAAAATAAAATAAAAATAAAACAACATCTAATAAAGAATGAGGGAAAAACTGAACTTTAAGGTGGATCAGTCATATTAATTTTTTTTTTTTTTAACAAGAATCAGGACCACTTCTTCAGACTGAGCGTGCTCAGACCTCTTTTTGATTCTGTAAACCTAAAATAACTAAATCTGACAAAAAGTGTTTTCTGTTTGTTTGTTTTGTAAACAAACCACAACTCTGTGTGGCGAACTGATTCATTCAACAGCTGATCTGGGTCAGAACCCACACACTTGTATCAGCTCAGCAGCATACAGTAAGGTATGGCTATTTCCTGGATGGGTGGGACGCGTCAACTAATTTCCAGAGACAAAGGTTTCAGTCCAGCAGCGTGCCTTGTTCTTGGGCTCTGGTCAGGCTGTCTTTGCGGTGTAGGTGGTGCACACCCATCCTCTTCGGGCTCTTCTGTGGTCGATGTTGGGCGGTGGCAACACCGCCAAGGGCAGGATCAAAGTCTAGGAGGCGTGGCGTGATGACAGGCAGCTCACTAGGCAACACATCCCGCTCTTCGGTTGAGCTATCATCCTCTTCCTCCTTCCTGTGAGCGTCTACAGGGCTGGTTGCCATGGTTACAGCCACACTGTTGCCTCCTTCATCGTCCTCGAGGTTCATCAGAAGCTGCTCCCCCTCCTCAGAATCGTTCGGACCACCGAACCGTCCTCTCCTGCTGGAACGTGGTTCTGTGTCCGTGTCAGTGTCCAAACTGGAGCCGCGGCTTGGGGTCCAACTCCGTGCAGACGAACCCTCTTCTCCGTCAGAGTATGCCGCTCTGTGGCGGTCTGACGTGGCAGAGGCCCCACCCCCTGCAGCCTGGCTCCGCCTCTGCAGCTCTTGGGCCATTTGGCTGCTGAACGACGTGCGATGCATCAGAGAACCGTCGCTTGATGGCGCCATCTTCTCTACAAACATGCGCTGCCAGTTGGCCAGCAAGTCCTCTTCCGAGCTGCCAGAGCTGGCTGGGACGCTTGGCGCCTGCAGGGGGAGGGGACAGTGATGACATCAGTTTACACAGAAAACAAAGACCATAATACTGTATCAGCTGAGAGAAAAGATGGACTGGTATGGAAAAACAACAGCAAAGAGCTCAATGCCCCATGCCCACTTGTGGGTAATCGGGACCCCACCCTGGAGCCAGGCCTGTGGAAGGGGATCATCAGTGAGCAGTTAGTGACGGGGTCTCTACTCATGACATTCAGTCAAGTTCAGCCGAAAGGAGTTACATGGGTTTGCCTTCCTGTGGGCTCACCACCTGCAGGAGGGGTCATACAAGTCTGGTGCATGGTGTTATGAGTGATAGCCAGAGGCGAGGGCCTTGGCGCTCTGACCCTGGCTTACTAAAACAGAGTCTTAGGACATGGAATGTCACCTCTCTGATGGGAAAAGGAGTCTGAGCTTGAGCGTTAGATTGAGCAATACCGACTAAATATAGTTGGGCTCACCTCGATGAACAGCATGGGCTCTGAAACCAATCTCCTTGAGAGGGGCTGGATCTTATTCCACTCTGGAGTTGTTCATGGTCAGATATGCCAATTTGGTGTGGGTCTATTCTTAGACCCCAGCTTAGTGCCTCTGTGTTAGTTTTCCCCAGTAGACGCCAGGGTGGCTTCCCTGCACATTAAGGTGGGGGGATGGGGGGGGGGGGTCAGGCTCTGTTTGTGCCTACATGCCAAACAGCAATTCAAAGTATCCAGCCATCTTAAGAGTCCTTGGCAGGGGTGCTGGGAGGTGCTCCATCTGGGGATTCCTTTATTCTGCTGGGGGACTTCAATGCCCATGTGGGTAACTACAGTGTGACCTGGAGGGGTGTGATCAAGAGGAATGACCTCCCTGATATGAACTTGAGCTGTGTTTTGTTGTTGACCTTCTGTTCTAGTTACGGTTTATCCATCACGAACACCATGTTCAAACATAAGGGCGTCTAAAAGTGCACATGGCACCGGGAAACCCCAAGTTACAGATCAATGATTAATTTTGTAGTTGTGTCATCTATCTGTGGCTGTATGTTTTGAACACTTAGGTGAAAAGAGGAGCCATCAAATGATCACCACTGCGTGGCGAGTTGGATCAGATGGTAAGGGAAGATGCCAGAGAGACCTGGTAGACCCAAACATGTAGTAAGGGTTTGCTGGCAAAAGAATCCATCAGAAGGATCTTACAACTCACACCTCAGAGAGCTTTGACCGCATCCCAGCAGAGGCGGGAGACAGAGTGGGCCATATTCTGTGCCTCCATTGTCAAATTGTGCCTTAAACTGCGAGCGCAAGGTTGTCGATGCCTCTTGCGGTTATCCTCAAACTTGATAGTGGACAATCCGGGTTAAGGATACTGCCAAGCTGAAGGAGTCCTATCAGACCTTGTTGACTGGCAGAACCCCAGATCCAACTGAGTAGTATCAGTGGGTCAAGCAGGCTGTAGCCCTGGCAGCAATATCATTGGGTGATGGACGGAATACTTCTCGGACCTTCTCAGCCCCACAAAAACGTCTTCCAAGGAGGAAGCTAGGCCGAGGTCATTGACGTGGTTAAACACCTCCACGGCAGCAGGGCTCCTGGGGTGGATGAGATATGCCCTGATTTCCTCAAGTCTCTGGATTTTGTGGAGCTGTCTTGGTTGACACACCTTTGCAAAATCGCAGGGACATCAGGGGCAGTGCCACTGGAATGGCAGACTGGAGTGGTGGTTCCCCTCTTCAAAAAGGGGGACCGGAGAGTGCATTCTGACTATGGGGGCATCGCTCTCCTTAGCCACCGTGGTAAGATGTATTCAGGAGTGCTGGAGAAGAGAGCCTGATTGATGGTCGGAACTCAAGATTCAGGAGGAACAATGTGTGTTCCATCCTGGCTATAGGACACTGGTTCAGCTCTTTACCCTCACTATGCTCTGAGGGGTCATAGGAGTTTGTCAGTCTAGTCTACATGCGTTTTGTGGACTTGGAGAAGGCATTCAACCATAGTTCTTGAGGCACACTGTGGGGGGTGCCATGGTCCTTGGTCAGAAAAGAGTGAATTTCCCTCATTAGGTTTGGGGCAAGGTGCAAGTTAAGTACAGGAGGTGAAATATCTCCTTGATTTTGTTCACAAGTGAGGGAAGAATAGAGTGCAAGATCTACAGACGGTGCTGCTTCTGCAATATTGTAAAACTTAGTGTCAGTGGGGTAAAAAGAAGCTGAGCTGCAAGGAGAAGCTTTCAGTTTACCAGTCGGTCTATGTTCCTACCCTCACCTATGGTCATAAACTCTGGGTAATGACCAAAAGAACGACATTGTGGATCCAGGATGTCTAAATGAGTTTTCTCTGCAGTGGAGCTTGATCTCCCTTAGAGATGGAGTGAGAAGTTCAGTTTTACAGGAGAAGATTGTGAGTAAAGCCACTGCCCTTCCACATCCAGAGGAGCCAGTTGAGGTCATTCAGACATCTGGTAAGGATGAACCCTGTACACCTCCCTAGGGAGATGTCAACTGTAGTCATGTCCAACTGGGAGAAGACCCCGGGGAAGACCCAGGACATGCTGGAGAGACTATGTGTCTTGGCTGGCCTGGCAATGTCTTAGAATTCTTCCAGAAGAGCTGGAAGAGGTGGCTGAGAAAAAAAATATGTCTGGACATCCCTGCTCAAGATGCTGCCACCAGGACCTGAGTCCAGAACAAAAGGATAGATGGGTTGAAGTGACTGAGACAGGAGATCAGCTGAAGCGACCCATAGAAATGCAAGTCCAACAGAATCAGGATTTATTCAGTTGCTTAAATTTATAATCTGAGCAGAACAATTCAGAACCCTAACAGAGCCAAACGTTCTGATGCTATAATCAACAAGCAGTAGCTAGTTTAGATAATCTGGACCCCTGACTGGACAGAAGAGACAATCCATTTGGGTCACGAACAGAACATGGGTTTCCACCACAGGAAGTTTCCCTCAGACTGAGGAATGTTATGAGATTCTATCTGATTCTGCTGCAGGTTGTGGAACCAGTTCATGTTCTGCTACAGAACCTGAGAATTTGGGTCAAGAGATGGAAGTAGAGCCTGGTTCATGTGGTGGAAACTCAGAATCTGTTTTCTCTTCCTCAGAATGAACTTTGACCAATGATCATGGCATCAGAAAGTAGTTGGGCGGAGCCTCTTACCTGTGGTGGGCTGCTGAACGGGCTGGACTGACTGGACAGTGGCTCGCTGGTGGCATATCGTTGTGATGGTGGTGTGCGCTGGTTGGCTCCGCCCCCCGATGACGAAGAATGGGCAGGGCTTCCAGGGGTAGGGCGCTCGTCGTCATTCTGCACAAGGCTCAGAGAAATAGCCTGCCGGGTGGCGTAGGTGCAGTTAGGCAGTGGTGAGTTCTTGGGGATCTTTACTTTGTCGTCGGAGGAGAACTCGATGACTTTGCGGCCGGGGTAGAGCGGGTGGGGTGGCGGTGGTGGCGGATACGGATTCAGCTTCTCAAAAGACGATTTTCCGCCCCCTTCCTCATCCAGGCTGCTCTGACTTCGACAGGAGCCATTCTGCTGCTCGGCATGCTGAGCACCGCCCATCTCCCGGGCATCGGCGCCTAAGGGACTCGTCATGTCCACGTGAACAAAAACGTCTTCAGCAACGGGTCTGCCGCAGCTGCTGGACTGAGCTGAATTCAGAACCAGAGGCTCGGGTTTCTCAAGGACTCTAGCGATGACCGAGGTGGGCACAACGTCTGCTGGGGTCAGACTGAGCGTGTCTGGGTCCTGAGCGCCGAGGGCAGGGCCTCTTTCTGGGAGGCTGCTCTTCATGTGTTTGTTCAGCATGTCTTGCAGCTCTGAGGGCAGCTGCAGCCAACAAACAAACGAATTAAGTCAAGTTAATGCAGCATTCGTTCTACAGTTTATTTGGACTCAAACATAAATATCTGGACTTTGAAGCTTTTAAAAATGTTCCTACATCTGTAAACTTCCTCAGGTTGTAAAAGTCAGTAAAGACCGAACTTTCAGAGATCCATACCAAAGAGTTTGTTCCCCAGGACCCAAAGGTTGGTTCCCCAGGACCCAAGGGTTGGTTCCCCAGGACCCAAGGGTTGGTTCCCCAGGAGTCAACGTCTATCTGGTACATATATGAATACTTGCACTGTATTCACAGAGGTGTTCCACTACAACAACCCTCACCATCAGATGGAGGTGGAGACAGGCCAAGCTGTGAAGGATGGACAAAGCCCAGTCCTTTCGATATATAGGATTCAATAAACGCCTAAAAACCCTACAAATCAGCAGCAGAAACAGCTAAAGTCTGTCTCGGAAAGCTTCGGTTCTGATTCATTAATTTCGACAGTCTCAGCTCCAACAAAAGACTGCTGCTGTCCTGCTCCTCTAAAGGAGCTCACACCAACAGGAAGACCTTGAAATAGTTTTTCCACAGTAAATACAAGTGTAATGATACGCATCTGTACTTGTAATCAGCAAATACGCACATGTAGTACTTTGACTGTATTTGAGTATCTGGTCTGGTGTCAGATATTTTTAACAGTTTTGATTTAAACTTATAGAAAACTGAACGTGAAGCAGGTCTGGAAACTTAAAGCTTTTCATAAACTGCCTTTCTGTTAACAACAAAGCCCATGCCTTTTCCGTTATTAAAACTCTTCCTGACCTGGAAAATGTTCAGACAAGCTGAAGACATTTGAGGACAGTTGGTCTGAAAAGGGCATTAATTTTTTTTAATTATAATAACTTATTTAAATCCATCCATCCATCAATTATTTTTACCTGCTTCTTCCTTTCTGGGTCATGGAGGTCACTGTGCGAGAGGCAGGGGACATAATTACAATCATTAATTTTTTTGCTTACTCTTACAACTTTCTGATCACAGGCTCTCCAGTATCTATGACAATTGTCCCATTATGCGCCGATATAAAGGCTCCGACAGACTCAAGCATACTTCAGTCCATGGAGGTCCGCGCATACCAGATTAGACTCAAAGTGGATGCCCGCAAGGCATGTCCGCGCAAAATAAATTTTTACGACCACGTATTCTGTGTCGCACAATAAGCTGCCCGGCGACGGACTGTTTTGTATGTGACACCAATGTATTAAATTCCCCTTCTTCATCCCTGGTCTGGTTTAATGGTCTTTTCTTTTGTTTTTTGTTTTTTGCGAAGAGGCAAGCAATCTCTTCCTCCTCACCCGTTGATGCCACGACTGAAATTGTGAGAAATTAAGGAATTTGTCACAAGATAATTAAAATCAGGCCCAGCATGGCTGTAGGAGGGTCTGGAGATTTCCTGGTGGGCCGGTCTGATGTGTGGGCTGCAGGGCCAGAGCCCCCCGTTTTTAAATTTTTTAGAACCTTTTTATTAACTTCATACAAACACAGAACACCGCTGCCGCTGGACTGCCAGCTCTATTTTTTTTTGGCAACCTGTCAATCAATCCAGTAGGCATGTCAGCAAATGACCAATTGGCTACCTCAATTTGTCCCGAAAGTAAACGTCCCTGACCTGCAGCGCTGGGCTGCATCCCATCAGGGTGTACGCTCGAGTATGAAGTCTCAACAGTCTGCAGACAGTGCGCAGTGTCCGCGTGGCTCACAGAACGCCCCAGTATGTGGGAGCCTTAAGTGCTTCTAATTTTCACCGCTAAAATGCTGGAACCAGCTGTAATTGTATCCAAAATGTATCCAGCAGAGGACGTATGAAGACTACTTTCAAGTCATGGCCATTCATTTTAAGTTTCATGTTCAGCACAGCCGAAGCAGAGAACAACTGTGTAGCATATTTTGCTAAACAGAGCATGGTAAGTTTAATTTAACTGATCTGTAAGATAAAATAAATTACCAATAATAAATTCTCTTTAATCCTCATTAGCTATGTGGCTGTAACTGTAACTTCATAACTGGCTGCAACTATTGTACCCACCACTGCACCCTGTGTTCACTGGTTAACTGGACATCATCAACTTCATGCAGACTCTCCCACTGGTACATTTTCATCTTTAAATCACTTCTTGGTCTGCTGCCTTCATACATCTCCTCCTACATGTCTCTGTGTGAGTGCAGCTACAGCGTGCGCTCTCAGGACATTATTACCTGCAGTGTTCCCTCAGTGAGGACTGAACTAGGCAAAAGGGCCTTCTCCTACTCCGCTCCTGTTTCCTGGAATATCTTACAAAAAGATCTGAAGCTCTCGACCTTGACCTCTTAAAGTGGCTTTAAGAATCTGTTGGACTCATGGCAGGTACCAACGCAGACATGTTCCTGTTTTTAGTTTTCTACATTGCCTTATAATCTAGATTTTTTTTGCCATCTTATTTTAATTTGTAAAAGTAAATAAATAAAATCTGTATGCCTCTTTTATGACTGTCTATTGTTGTCGTTATCCACCGTTGTCATCACTCTTTGTTGAAATCAGGTCTCTCTTGTAAATGAGTCCCCGAGGCTCAATGAGATTAACCCGTCTAAATCAAGGTTGAATGAATATGTGCCTCTGAAGTTGGCAAGCTAACATTTCGATAACCTAGCATATGCTATTACCTTGTTAAACTTTATCCAGAACAATAAATCTAATGTAGAGGTAAACTATATCAGTGTTTCCTGATGCATGCTCAATAATCCAGGTAGAAAATCTAAAAAAGTTACATCTGGTCCTCTGGATTGATTGATCCACTCTGAGAAGGTGCTATTTATAAGACTGAGCTGAATACAGCACCTCAGACTGAAGAAGTCTTTCGGATGAAAGACGAAACATTTCTACATTTTGCCGTTTTGCTTTGTTTTGTTTTTTGAATGTCCAGAGGACCAGATTTAACTTTTTTAGATATATCAGTGTTTGTAACGTTATCTTTGTCGTCCTCATTGAAATGCATTGTTTGCCTGAAATCTTTACTTCTCTACAAAGAAAAATAAACTGCTGCGGTCAATAATAATTAGTCACGGTCTGACCGTTTAAACAATGAACAGGGAAGGATGTTTCTTTAATTTATATTTTTGTAACACTTGATAACTTTATGGTGAATAGTGGACGATAGAAAATGTGAATGAACGTTAGGAAGACTGTTTTCATGAACAGTGCACCACTTGTAAACCTAGTGAGTGACTATAGTTGATTTAATTATAATTAAAGCGTGGATCTGATTAGCTTAGCTTCATGGTTGCTAACAGCTGCACTAAATAAACAAACACCGCTCCACTTGCAGTTTTTGTAAATACTTGAGGGTGGACAAAGATCAAAAATTTTCAGCCAAAAATTTTCAGCCATTGTACAAGTTATCAGTGGCCACCTCCCCCCCAGTACTGGTATCGTCTATAGCCAAAATTTCCATATCGGTCGGGCTCTAAATAAAACTTTTTCCATGAAGTCATTTAGTTGTTTTTCCTAATTCTCATAACTGTTTTAGTTTGTTTACCTTTGTCTCTTTGTGTTGCATGAGTTTTATAAAAAAAATTAAAAAAACAAACAGAAATAAACAAACACCTGAAGAGGAAAGATCATATAAAACATGCATGAAACGCTGAAAATATCATATTAATATTATTACATCAATGCAACATAACTTGTTGATATTTTGATTGTATGAATGGGTTTTATTTTGTAGTTGGAGAGCCGAAGGAAGGAAAATTTCCACCTTGGTGAACAATAAAGTTTCATTTTATCTTAAACTCAAGTCATTCACTTTAAAGTATCAAAAATATTTAATTTAAACTGAAAAACATTGTGTGTGTACTCACGTCAGCAAACTTGTGGTTCCTGAAATGCGACTTGTTGCATTTAAGCAGCTGAACGGCCAGATTACAGTCCTGCCTGTACCGCTCCTAAACACACACACACACACACACACACACACACACACACAAGGTCTAATTTATACAGGACCAATTAGATTTACGTCATGGTTTCACTAAATGGATTTAAGAACAATTTTCACAAATGTTCTCTGGTTGTTGAATAAAAACCAGCCCGGGTTCTGATCCACAACTACCAGGACTAAATGTTTGGTTTGCCTCAAAATGCGTTCAAATGTTCACAGGGATTAAAGCAAATAAAAACCTTTGGACTGAAGGTTTTCATTTTTAAAAAAATGTAATGAATTGTTCAAGTTGTAAGAAGGGTCGTTCTGAAAAAGTTTTCTGTAGTTTAGTTATTTCCTGGCAGTGATCCAATATTTTATATGAACCTCTACGATTAGCAGTTAATCTGAAGGTGAAATTAGAGTAAGGTGTTTTCAATCAATGGGATGACGATTTTCTCACTTGCCCTCGAACAAGATGGACACTTTCTTCCCTCCCCTGCCTTCCTCCTGTTTTGCTCTTTGTCCTGTGCATCAGAGCCTCACTTTACACATCTTCCGAATCATAAATTATTATTATTATGGATCTGGTCAGCGGGTCTCTCAACGCAATTGATAAAAAATAAATACATTTCAAGAGATGGGGTACTGGAGAGCCCTCATGCCCAAGCGGGCGCACGCAGCTGGGTATGTCATGGATAAAACATTTATGTAATTGGATTTATGACAACAGGGTTTCTTCTTTTTGGATCGGTGGATACCTAGCATAATGACAAATTAAGAAGACGTTGGCAGCAGTTTCGGCCATGGTAAAGCTGCCAACCTCATGTGATGGTTTAATTCGTGCTTCAAGCTCTCAGACTCGTATGCGTTGAGAGCTCCCTGGAACTGGTCGGCATGATGGATTCGACCCTGGAGAAAAGCTAAAGCATGGACCGGCAGAATGTCCACAAATCTGGCTGTTTGGATTCGCCATCGAGAATTCCAGCAGAACTGAAGGCAGACAGGAACCAGAGTCTGCCTGCCCACACAATTGTTTATCTGAATCTGGCCTTCCTGCTCGGCCTTGGAAGGCCAACTTATCTCAAATTGCTCCTGGTGGAAATGTAAATCAAGAAGCTCTGCTCTATCCACCCCCCACCCCACCCCCCAAGAACTTCTGTGAATCATCAGAGCTGTACCAGCTGAGAGACACTGCAACATCTTATCAGGACTATGGAGACCATCTAGAAGTGCTCACAGACAAATCTCACCGTCTTGTAATCCATGCATACGTATTGTGTCTTTAGTCTTTTGTGTGAAATTTAATTCAATTCAATTTCAATTCAATTAGAATTTAATTTAGCAGATATTTATGATAAAAACTACAAACAACTGAAACTGACTCAGGGAGAACTTCATGAGTTTAAAGTAAAATATCAAAATTAAACAGACATAACTGTTATAATCTGGGTCATGTAAATATTAATCTTTAAACGTTAACACTGTTTAATTATAAGAACTAATGCTGCAGATGCAGCCTCTCTCACAGAGAGACTCAAACAGGCTGAGCAAGCTCCGGCGACAGCGCTCGCTCTCTGGAGGACCAGAGTTCGGACACATGCGTAACACTAACCACCACAGATTGGCTCAGTGAGCTGTCAATCAAAAGCCAAGAAACCAGCGTGTGGTTAGCATTTTTATATGGAAATCGGGCCCAGTGTGATGAAGGTGTGTTTGTTCTCACATTCAGCTCCTCCAGGCGGTCAATGGTGTTCTTGGCGTCCAGCAGTTTATTGGTCAGCTCCACTATTTCCTGGTCCATGGTCTTTTTGTCCCTCTCCACCTTCCGTAGCTGTGGGCGGGGCACAGACATCGTGTTAAGAGTGCAGCAGCAGTCCAAATTGACAGTGGGCGAGGCTACATTCAGATCATGTGGGAATCAACTTCCTGTCAGAACCAGAACACTGAGTCTACAGTATTCCCAGATTATTTGAATGCTGCATTAATAAGCAGCTCTGCACAGATGCATTATGGGATGCAAGGGTGGGGCTGCAGCTACAAGAAGATCAATCAGACCTGATGAGATCTTCATGAAAGCATCGAAGCTGAGATATGTTCAATAATCTGTTTCTGCCAAAGCGATATGTCTGTTAGCAAAATATTGCAAGACCCACTGGATATTATATTAAAACTGAAGTCATCCTTGGATGAACATCTAGACCTGATCAACCTTTAGTCAAAAATTTTTGAAAAAGGCTACTCAGCTGCTCATTTACTGAGGATGAGGCCTCAGTTCCAATACCTGAAGTACTTCACCTAAGACAGACTCCTACCACTCCCCCCACCCTGAGGGTGAGATGAACCGTTTGGTCAGTTTATGAGACCAACTCCAGGTGTGACGTCTGAACCCAGACATGTTCTTTCTGAAACTCTTCAGGTTCTGGTTCAGGCTACAGCAAAACCAGGTACTAATTCATCAGACGAGCAGTATGTTAACGGTTTGTTGACTTTATCTCAACGGCTTTTTCTACAGCAAAATTTAAAACCTACTGGATGACAAAGTCTAAACATCAGGTCCAACCAGCACCAGACTCATGACTCAAACTACGAGCCAGATCCAGAAGAACCAGCACAAAGTTCTGACTAATCGTGACTGTAACAATGTTGTTGAGGGATTAGAATTTTAGAAGGTTTCTGGACCAGATGTTCAGACCCTCAGAGAGATGAAGGCGAGGCAGAGGACGAAGGGGATGAAGGCGAGGCAGAGGACGGAGAAGATGAAGACGAGGCAGAGGACGGAGGGGATGAAGGTAAGGCAGAGGACGGAGGCAGATGAAGGTAAGGCAGAGGACGGAGGCAGATGAAGGTAAGGCAGAGGATGGAGGCAGATGAAGGTGAGGCAGAGGAGGAGGGGATGAAGGAAAGGCATAGGATGGAGGGGGATGAAGGTGAGTGAAACCCAACTGCATGGACCCAGGTCTGACTGACGGCAGCCTGAGGAAGATTATGATGATGAAGATGATCCACCAGACAGCAGCATGAGGAGAGAGACAGATGACAGTGAGATCGACAGGAAGGTTGGACAGCTATCAGGAACACCTGGAGACCCAGATCAAGACCTCACCTCAGAACTGAACCTGACAAACGAGACCTTTGAAGTCTAACGGGTCCAAGTTTTATAAACAAACCCTTTTTTTTTTTTTTCATATCGATGTGAACCGGTCCAGGTTCAGTCTGAGTCAGATCCCGTCAGAGTCGAGGTGTTCCTGAAGAATAAAAACATGCCAACAGGCAACAATGTCTGAACTCAACACTTTAAAATGTTTACACTTTTACAAAACCCTCAGTTTAACTTTGAAAGGACTTTTCTGATAGCAGGAGTACTGGTAAACTGATTTTTAAAAATTTATTTAAAGTTAGACTATTTCACGTGCTCCAATCTCTTACTGCAGATGAGACGGCTTCTCTACATTTTACTGAATATTTTAATTCATTCAACCTTTATACAGGTTAGTCTCACTGAACCTCGAGGACTCATTTACAAGAGTCCTGTTTTTAACAGAGTGATGACAACAGTAGACAATCATAAACATACATACAAGCACAGAAACTGAAAAAAGAAATGGAAGGAAAAAAAAAACGAAACAAAAACAACTATATTATAAGGCGATGTAGAAAACTAAAAACAGGAATATCTGCGTTGGTTTTCCCCATGAACTCAGCAGATGTCTGAAGCCACTTAGAGAGGTCAAGGTCGAGAGCTTCAGATCTTTTTGCAAGATATTCCAGGAAACTGGAGCGGAGTAGGAGAAGGCCCTTTTGCCTAGTTCCGTTCGCACTGAGGGGACACCCTGTAATTATGTCCTGGGAGTGCACACTGCACTCATGTAGTGACATGTAGGAGGAGATGTATAAACAAGAAGTGATTTAAAGATGAAACCTATCAGTGGGAGAGTCTGTGTGAAGTTAATGATGTCCAGTTAACCAGTGAATACAGGGTGGGTACGGTACTTACAGCCAGTTATGAATCTTAGTGCACCATGATAGACAGTGCCCAACATCTGAAAGGTGCTTGTAAGTCAGAGTCAGAGTTTCTTTATTGTCATTCGCACCTCATGCGGTGCATGTGGTGGAGCGAAATTATGTACACAAGGTCCCAGTTACATCCAACAATAAAATGTATAAGAAAAACAGTAATAACATCTAAGATATGAACTAAGAAAAACCAACTAAATATACACTAAGCACTCACAACATAAAACATTGAACATCAGCACAAACATGAACATGAGTCTGTGAGCAGATGTGCACGCATGAACACAACACTGAAACAGATCAACAGCAACATGAAACAGATCAGCAGCAACATGAAACAGATCAGCAGCAACATGATGTGATTTTTCACAGTGATTATTCTAGTTAGAGATTCATGAGTCTAACAGCCTCAGGGTAGAAGCTGTTCCTCAGTCTAGTGGTTCTACACTTAATGCTCCTTAACCTCCTTCCTGAGGGGAGTGGGGCAAAAAGTGTGTGAGCTGGGTGAGTTGGGTCCTTCATGATGCAGGTGGCCCTCTTCCTGCATCTGGAGGTGTAGATGTTTGTGATGGTGGGGAGGCCGATTCCGACAGACTTCTGTGCAGACTTCACCACTCTCTGCAAAGCTTTTCTTTCTGCAGCTGTGCAGCCTCCATGCCACACGTTGATGCTGGAGCACAGGATGCTCTCCACTGCACACCTGTAGAAGGAGGTGAGGACTGAGCTTCCCAGACCAGCTTGCCTCAGCCGTCTGAGGAAGTAGAGTCTCTGATGAGCTTTCTTGATCAGGCTGGTGGTGTTGTTGCTCCAGCTGAGGTTGTCATTCATGTGTACACCCAAGTACTTGTAGCTGGAGACCACTTCCACCGCAGATCCTCTTATGTTCAGGGGGGTGTAGATGTTTTTGTTCCTTCTGAAGTCCACAATCATCTCCTTTGTCTTCTTCACATTGATGTGAAGGTCATTCTCTTTGCACCAGCTCTCCAGGTGTTCCACAAAACAGAGGGCATTCGTTGTAAGGGCGTTCATGTAAATAATGTCACTATAGACAATGGACGTGAGGACAGTTGCAGTTACAAGGCATTTCCTAGCATTCAGTTAGACAGGATCCATTTCTGAAAAAGAAACCCAGTTTTACTTTCAGTTTCTTGACCAGAACTGCTCTGATTTTTAGCATTTTTATTGTATTATCGCCTGCAGGCATCACATTTCAGCCTCTGGGTTTGTTTGTTTTTTTACAAAACATGTCAGATTTTTATCAAATATGCTGATAGTAAATAACAAAACTGATTAACTTTTGGAGACAACCCCAGTCAAAATGGCTGTCAACCTGGGCTAATCAACCTAATAATTAATCCTAGTCATTTTTATAAATTTGGAGCTAAACCTAGGTGTGACCGAAGCTGAGGGTCCTTCCCAACACTTTCAAGCTCTGATCACCTGATCGGGACAGAAAAATCGTGCTGATGATTGACAGCAGCCACATCAAGAGCTGAACCCATCCAATGGTCGGCTGGACAGGCCTGTTATGGGACAGCGGACATCAAATGTGAACCCCCGGGTTATGCTGAGGTAACAGAACCAGGTGGGTGGTGGTCCAGGATACCACAACACACATTTCTATAAGGACCCCCCCCCCCCCTTATAGGGGGATACTAAGGACGTTGTTACCCCACTGGTGGAATGACGACACCAAAGGGGTAGCAGACCCAACAGGTCACACGCCATTTTAATATCAGTGTTATTTGTGTAGTGTGTTTAAAAACACGGTTGACCAAGGCAACAACCAGGAAAACCAACAATAAAACGCAAGTTACGTATGCAACTACGATTCTATGAATCCCGGATGACTGCCAGAGGGCAGTGCTGAAAGCAGTGAATGTTCCCTTTGTGCATGTGCCTTTAGAGCAGTAATACCAACAGAGTGACAGCTGTGATGTATAGGATGATCAATCAGGGGCTATATAGCCTGGCGTTATCTGAAGCTCTGCTCCTACAGAATCTTCAAGGAATGCAAGGATTCTGAGGGCTGACAGAAAGAGCATGTAGCTCGCCAACCCTCTTATCTGAGAGACAACAAAAAGCTGTCTTACATGAAAGCCACTTGAGGTCTGCCTGCATCAAAGGCTCAAATGGAGGGTGGCACAGAGCTTTGAGAACCAAGGGCAGATCCCAAACTGGTGCCTGTGGAGCAGTCGGCTAGTGCAACCTACAAGCACCATGCAGAAAAAGAGAAACTACAAACCGGATTCCAAAAAAGTTGGGACACTAAAATTGTGAATAAAAACTGAATGCAATGATGTGGAGGTGCCAACATCTAATATTTTATTCAGAATAGAACACAAATCACAGATCAAAAGTTTAAACTGAGAGAATGTATCATTTTAAGGGAAAAATCTGTTGTTTCCAAATTTCATGGCGTCAACAAATCCCAAAAAAAGTTGGGACAGATCCATTTTTACCACTGTGCGACATCCCCCCTTCTTCTTACAACGCTCAACAGACGTCTGGGGACAGAGGAGACCAGTTTCTCAAGTTTAGAAATAGGAATGCTCTCCCATTCATGTCTAATACAGGCCTCTAACTGTTCAATCGTCTTGGGCCGTCTTTGTCGCACCTTCCTCTTTATGATGCGCCAAATGTTCTCTATAGGTGAAAGATCTGGACTGCAGGCTGGCCATTTCAGTACGCGGATCCTTCTCCTACGTAGCCATGATGTGATTGCTGCAGAATGTGGTCTGGCATTATCGTGTTGAAAAATGCAGGGTCTTCCCTGAAAGAGAAGACGTCTAGATGGGAGCATATGTTGTTCTAGAA